AGGCGTTTGCAGGGGTCTGTACTTGCTCCAGTTATGTTCCTAATATATATCAATGACATAACTAACTACGCAGACATTAAACTCAGACTCTTTGCGGACGACTGTATGCTCTACAATGAAATATGTCATCACGATGATCAGGTGAAGTTAAGTAATTCATTAAACAAAATAGCTCAGTAGGGCGCTGATTGGCAAATGACTATAAACATTGACAAAACTGTATTTATGTCCATTACTAACAAGGTGTCTAAGTTTGATTTTCAATACCATTTTAATAATGTGCCACTATGAAGAGTTAACCAGTACAAATACCTTGGTATCACAATTTCGTCTGATCTTAGTTTGACAGAGCACGTGCGTCAAGTGTCCAAAAAAGCGATGAGCAAATTATTTTTTATTAAACAGGCCCCGTCATTCGCCACACATGAAACGAAGCTTCTTGCTTACATCACATTTCTCCGCCCAGTCTTAGAATATGCTAATATCGTGTGGTTCCCTCACACTGTGAATAATATCGCTATACTGGAAAGGGTTCAGCGGAAAGCAGTGCGCTTATCTTTAACAGATACGGGCGCAATGACTCACCTACTGCTCTATTACACCGTGCTGGTCTAGCCAATCTTGACAGTCGTGCAAAGGTTTTCCGGCTTAAATTTATTTATCTACTTTTATACAGATCATTCCGCATAAACCCAGATCTTTACTTGAACTTTGGAGACACCAGACCGACGAGGCGAAGGCATGCATGGGAACTTGAAGAATACTCATTTAGTAATAATACTTTTCCTTATTTGTTCTTTCCGCGCGTAATTCGCAAATAGAACACACTGAATCCAGTCATTACACATCAGCCAACATTAGAGAAATTTATGAAGCTAACTGAAGGTACTGATCTATTCTAACCTAGTTAGCATGTATAGTGATCACTTGTTTTTCGTCACGCAGTCCTTCTTGCTTCCCATTGTCATACCAAAGCACTTGTCTGCATATATTTATTGTTTAATACGGTTCCTTGATAATAATACACAATCTGTGTTTTCTTCTCTCTATGCTTCAATTCTTCTCGACTCCTGTTTCTTTGTCGGAGTACCATTGGTGTACTTTGTACTGGGTTATGGTTCAAATAACTATGTATGATTGTTCTATGCTGTACTGATCTGTTCAGCGATTATGTGTTCTTTATTATTCTGATTTTTCTTGTTTCAAACATCAAAAGTTGTGACAGTGATACTCACCCCCGTAATAATCCCCATGGGGGATTGACAGTATTCTGTAAATAAAAAAAAATTAAAAAATACAATTAGAGTAAAGTGCTCCAAGACCAATTGATGAGCAATTGTAGGGGTTTTACATTTTAAAACTATGATATGATTGTGAAGTACGCCATAGAGGAGTGCTCTGGGATTTTTGACGACCCGGGGTTCTTTAACGTGCACCTAAATCCAAGTGCACGGGCCAGATGCATTTTTGCCTCCACCAAAAATTTGGCCGCAGCATTCAATCTAGCTACCCTCGGATCAAATTGTGCACCATCACCACTAGACCACCATAGTATGTGAAGTGCTCCTAGACAGATGTAGCAATTGATGAAAAGTAACTGTCCACTTCTGCATTGCTATTCCTCCAAAACTCTTATTCTATGCGAGCTGGCCTCTCTATTTTACTGCATCCTCAGAAGACTCAAACTTTCCTTATTGTCACAAACAACTTTCCAAAATTATTGTCGGTCGCTTCATGATAACAGCAGCAGAAACATTCAAGAACTGACGCTATGTGCTCACCCCCCCATTTTAACAGTTATGACTAGGTAATGTTGGCCACGTTATGTGGCATCAAATTGCATTGGCCTTATGTTGAGTGCATACTCAAGAATTCCAGGTGTTGAAAATTTGCTTAGAGTTCCTTGCCACAGTGTGCTTCATAATGATAATGTGGCCTTGGTGCACAAGACACCAAAATTTCACTGGACAAGAATTCTTGGCAGACGTGAAACGAACAGTAAATGCGGCTCAGGTGGTTCAAGCCCTTACCTTTTGTCTACTCCCTTCTGTTTCAGTTACTGCATGTGGTGCCTGTTAAACCTGTAAATACTAACCAACCAGTCAGGCAACATGTTATGTAAAAGTCACTTTCAGAGACACCTTTGTCATATGCAAACATATTCAAGAAGGCATGCACTATTGCCCAAAGAAATAAAATTCGCCAGATCCCACGTACCATGGGAATCGATGTTAGAAGCATGCGGTGGGAGATTGACTGAGGTGTAGTTCGAGACGTTATGAAACAAGACTAAACGTAAGTACAACCTTTGTGTCCACAGATATGTGTTGAACAGTTGCATACAATATGTTTTATATAACCAGTTGTTTACAGCGGCGTAGCGATGCCCACAGCAACATGGGTATTACTATTACCAGGAGTGGTGAGCTGATAACAAATGCTTGTACTGGCGAGGACGGTAGCCCTGGCTAGTGCTACGCAGACCACCTTCAGTGGACGGCACTTAAGTATACAACTGATGCCAACCCGACGTGATGCCAGTATCATATTAGCACATATGTAATGTTTATAAAATTAGACAGCCAGCTCTGCAACCACAACTGCAGTGCTGGCTGTCTCACCAATATTAAGCGTGCATAGTGTCTCTTTCCAAAGCAGTTTTGAGACCTGATGGGCTCAGTGGTAGAATATTTGATTGCCATGCCGAATGCTTGAGTTCAATTCCTACTGAGAAAAAGAGAGAAAACATTTATTGTGTAAAGGCTTGTAAGTGAGGGTGGGAGAGTTCTTTATTGCAAGAACCCTCGGGCCCGGATCGTCTGCCGGACTCGGACCCTGATATTATTCCGCCGGACTCGGACCCTTCATGTATTCGTCGGGTCAATGCTGCCGTTGTCGAATTATTTCTTAACATTCTAACATTTAAACTAGCAATGTCTGTTATTCTCTCCATTTATGGACAAATATAACTGCCATTGCCAGTGGTGCATACCCGCATACAGTGGGGGTGCTGACACCCCCCCTGTAAAGTTGTCTGCACCGCGTGGCGCACGTGTCTCACCCCAAGGCTTTGTTTCGGTGGTGACCACCGCCGGGCGATAGATGGCGTTGTGTTCGCTTTGAGTACCACTGTTGGTAGAGTGGTAGCGCCGGCGGTGGCCCCTGGCGGAAGGCAGGCCTTAATGGTGGGCGAGGGTTGAGTGAGCCTCTTCTGCGCGTGGCGGCTGCCGCGAACGGTTGTCTGTAGCATGGGTCCCCGGTGCTCGGCACCGCGGGCTTCGCGCCGGGGTCCCGCGTGCAAAGTCAGGCGTTGGCGACGCCGCCTTGGGTATGTGTTAGTGTGTTGGTGTGTGTTTATCATGTTATTGTGTGTTTAGTGTGTCACTGCATTATGTTGTTTGTATGGTAGCGTGTTAATTGAAATTGGTGTATCATTCGGCGGACGATATCGTCGTCTAAATTAGTTAATAAATGCATGTATGTTGTGTGCTTTGTACCGAACGTGTGTGCTGTGTCCGTTCACTCCAAGAGCGTGGGGTGGCGATGCGCTCGTTCGCCTCGCCGAGACCCCACAATACCCAGTGACGTGCCTACGCGTGTACAACCACACATGTCTAGCAAAGCGTTTGACAATGTGAGCAATGGTATTTTCATGTTATTCGTGTCATGACCATCTAGACATATTCTTTTGTTCAAACCCTCTTACCCTTCTGCACCAATTTTAGTCTACTAAGTTAAGGAGGTTATCACAAGAGCACCCAGATAAATGGCTAGATAGATAAATAGATACGTAGATATATACGCTAAGTTCTTCGCATTTAATAACCCACTGGAAAGAAAAACAATGAAGAAAGAGCCACAGTGAACCAGGACAGAGGACTGCAACTTCTCACCCCTTTTTTTTGCTCCGCAGCTGCCACAATTTTACAAAAGCAAATATCTTTGTAAATTAAAAAAAATAATGAACAAACACATTCTTGCACTAATTCACTTCCAAATAACTTTCAAAAATGAAGGTATGTCTCATGTGTTCAAGAAACTTGAAGATGCCATTTTTATCTTGTACAGAGGTGGCATGATTGGAAGCTTCTCGGGGGCATGGCTGGCTTTTGCCATGATGTTTGCAGAACAGATTTCAAGCAGCTCCCCGAAGTACCTACATCCAGGAAACTCAATGCCGCGTTTGTGCAGAAAACACAGCATCCACTTACACACAGAAAAATGGCATTGTATCATGTGCCCCTCCCTCCTCAGTAGTACTAATTCAATAACTCTTTCTTCCACAGCAGAGCTGCATAAGAGCGTCATTATGGTAACTTGCGCAAAAGTGACCCCTGTGAAATTACAGATCAGAAGCATATGCAGACCATTACGTGATCACTGACCATTCTGGTCTTTCCGCGCCAGCGACGTGCGATACCAGGCCCAGTGCAGTAGAGCCAATGCTACATGCGGGAATGTGTGTGACACAGAGAAAACAATAAAAAAACAATGAATGGATGTACTGAAAGATTTTCAAGATATGTTGGTATGGTGGACCAATTGCACAAAATGTATAAGAACTTCGCTATACCAAACTCACGTATATCGAATTATCAGACGTAATGAACAAACATATATAACGAACTAGAAGCGACTTCTCCCTCGGCATTCAACAAATACATGCTCATAACTAAAGTCGAATACAGCAGAGGAAATTCGTCATAGCGAGGTATGCCCAAGTGAAGTGCTTGTCAGGTTTTGGACAAATTTTGGGTTTATATTACTTCATTTTTTTTCCCTAGGAATGTAATATCAAGCGCCTATGCTGTGTGAATATGATGCATTTGCAGACATTTGATCATAATTTGCACCTAAAAGGTTTACACTGAATTGCAGTGCTGCTGTACATAACGCATGAGTTACTCGTACACTGTGTAGAGCACTTGCGTACAACTGCAACAGGCGTCCCACATCTGCGCTAGCCTGCTTGACAAGAGAATGATGAAAATTTAAAGACATTTATAAAAAAGCCATTATGTCACATTTATTAACAAAAATTACACATATCTGTCAGTTAATGTGCAGGAACTATGCGAATAAGGCGTACTTTCAGAACCATAAGGTTGACATTTGTCATCGAAATAGCGCCCTCAGCGTCCGTGCTTCTTCCGCCATTTCCTCAACAGACCTTTTGGGCTTTTTATCATCCTTGTCATGCTCTTGAAGCTGCAAAGCAGTACAACAAATACTGTGAAGCTGAGAAGGAGCACTTGTATTTTTTCTTTGCTGGTATTTGGTAAACAGCCGTTTCTTCAATGAATTGGCAGCTGGGCTAGTTCGTAGCAGAACTAGAATAAAACTAGAATAATAGTTCTAGTTGGCAACAGAAAGACTTGAAGCCATGCAATATGTTGTGGTGTGTTTCCTTATCACCTTTTGTGCACGTAGTAGTTGCAATGCTTAATGATGTTCATGTGTCTTTCTCATTTTTTTTTCATACCACTTGACGTTACCATTTATGGTGTAAGCCACGGAGAAATAAAATAAAGGGACGAGATGTCTGCTGTACTGAGGAACATCTAATTCTGTAATAACAAAAGGCCTTAATTATTAGAGGCACGAGGAACAAGCGATACTGTAGCGTGCTCTCCCCAAGTAGGAGCGAAAAAAAGCTCGTCTACATTTTTTGAAGTTTAGGATAAAACTGGTTTATTTGCCACGAAAAACAGGCTTTGAGAAACGCAATAACACAAAAGGGGTGTGGCTGCATATCTCTCGCAGCCAGAGATAACGTGAGGTACGTCGGCCGGGCTATGCGCCTCAGCATATCAATTGGTATGCGCACACAACTAAAAATAATAGTGACCACCTGGGTCAACGTCCGCAACAATACTTTAATTTTTCTTCAATCACTTCCGATCGAGCACTTACTTTCTGTGAACACGTATTCAGGACACAATTTAAGAAATAATGAAGTCGGACCAAGGAGCAGTTGATATCGCTTATATGAGGTGCCTCTTATAGGCAGGGTATGACGTTTGCATTTACTGATCAACCCCGATTTTGCGTGGGCTTATACCCCATAGTCTATTATATCAATGTTTTTTGTAAATGGGTTCAACTGTACTGGTATGCAATCGCTGGTTCAAGTTAAAGGATATAATGCATACATACGACATTTGAGCATACATTTGCTCATAATAGGGCCATTAAACTGTCAGAGTAATTAATCAAAATAAATTTATTGAAAGAGCAAAAGGTTTCTAGTCGGCAACTCGAATAGTAGCAGCAACTGGTGGAGCGTATATGAACCACACGCATCATCTTATGTGACCTCTGAGCTATGCTTCGGCAGTGCAACCAGTTAACCCATAAAATACACTAAAGCAGTTGCAGCACCATTTTTTTTATTCATTTGTGCAATCAAACATAAATGCAGTGACCATTATGACAAGGCAAAGACAACATTCAACTCACTAAACTATTTCAATAAGTTCTTTGTAGTCATTTGGAACTAAAATTCATTGTTTGGGACAATATTGGTTTCATCAAAGCGAATGTCCGTAGGCTTACTGCTCAGAATAACCACGCATTCCTGTATGTACTCGATAAGAGCAGAACCATGTGGCACAATCAAGATGGGCATTCAAGACTCTGTGAATAACTTGGTCTGGCTAGTTCGCAGCCAGCCAGCCGACGTGCCAAGAGTCCAATGTGATGAAACCAATTGGGTGATTTCATACTAACAGCTATACAACAGCAATTGTAATTGGCCTATCGAAAGCATCAGTCCTCCGTTACTTTTTTGTAGAAACCCGGTTGTACTACATTCTTTTTGTCAATATCAGCACGTATGTCTGCACTCACAATTTTGCACTAACATTTAACGTCCCAAAACCACCCTATAATTATGGGAGACGCCATAGTGAAGGGCTCCGGAAATTTCGACCACCTGGGGTTCTTTAAGGTGCACCCAAATCTGAGCACACGAGCCTACAGCATTTTTGCCTCCATCGAAAATGCAGACGCTGCCACTGGGATTAGATCCCATGACCTGCAGGTTAGCAGCCGAGTACCTTAGCCACTAGCAGCCGAGTACCTTAGCCACTTTAACACCGCGGCGGGGCCGTTTGCACAAACAAATACTATAAATGCGTGTGATCAGATGACTCTGTCTGTACTTCAAATGCAACTTCATTATATACCGTATTTACTCGGTTCTATCGCGCCCTCCATTGTAACGCGCACTCGGTTTTCACGACGAAAAAAAAAAAAGTAAGACATTGATTGCAACGCGCACCAATTTTTCTCGTTGGCCCGCACGATCACACTACTCGGGAAAACGACTCTTTTCGGGAGCGTCTTCCGTTTAAATATGAGGTAAGGGGGAAGCTTGTGCCTATCTGACGTGCAACGGAGCATTGCCGTCACTCTTGTTTTACTGTGGCCCGATGTCAGCATGCGAACTTGCTTCGCCCCCTTCTTCTCGACGGTTGTGGTGCCAGGCATGTCAAAGTAAAGAGGCGTCTGATCGGCATTCCCTATTTGCCCAAGCAGGTAGCCGTTGTTGTGCCGCAAGTTTAGGACGAACCTCTGAAAACTGTGAAGCTTTTTTTTGTACTCCTCCGGCAAGTTTTGGCACATGCCCGTTCGCTTTAGGAGGGGAAAGCCTTTCCTCTTCATAAAGTTAGTTAGCCAGCATCTGCTCGCTTTGAACTGGCTCTGCGTTAGCCATTTTTCTAAAGCTAACTGCATAGCCCGCACTTAGAGCAGTTCTGTCGTCACGGGCCGCTGTGCCGCTCGCTGCTCAATCACATACTCGGCGAGCAGCTCTTCAATTTCCGGAAACTGACCCTGCTGTGGTCCACTGAAGCCTTTGGATGAATCTTTGACAATCTTCTGCTTTTGTTTCCGACAGTCCCACACGCACGTTTCGGGAACTCCGAACGACCGCGATGTGGCCCGATTTCCGTCTGTTTCGGCACATGCGATGACTTTTCTTTTAAAAGCGGCATCGTGGTGCACTCGTCGAGATTCTGGAGTCAGTCCTTCCATGCCGTCGATGCTAATGCACACCAAGATGACGAACTCCTCAGCATACGTACGAAGTGCTGCACATGGGAAACACATAGGCAGAAATGGCTGACGCGCCATGCCGGAGCACGTAGGGGGCGGCCATTTTGGAAATGCCGATGGCAATAGAATGACCGTATTAATTTTTTTCGCACTCGATTTTAACGCGCATGCGATTTATGAACTCGCTTAACTGGAAAAAAGGTGCGCGTTGGATTCGAGTAATTACGGTAATGTGATTTCATTGTAGGAAAATTATGACTATTCAAGGTTATGTTATGTTTGTTTCTTTTGTGGAAATGCACACATAATCAGGTAGAAAGAGCCTATCTGCATGTCAAATGCAACTCCATCTTCATCATGACAAGACTTCAAGAGTGAAAAAATTATGAATACTCGGGATGATGTAACGGAGAGGTTTAGCCACTGAACTTACCTTGACATAGACATTGTCATTATGAGTAAAGTCACCCGGTTTTCTTGGAAGCACATGCACATGAATGTGGTTTATGGATCTGCCTGCATCAGGACCATCCTAGAAAAATTGAAATCTTCCCTGAATCTTGCACAGCAAGCCGCATAAAAGCAGTCATGCAAAATTATGCCAATATGACACGAACTGTGGACAACAGAAATGAAAGCGTGTACATCACTTAGTTCTAAATTTCCGTGCTTTAAACCACGAGTACTGCACAAGGTAACATAAAACAATGCAGTAGTAATTTGTATAAAGGCGTGCTCATTACTCTTTACAAAACATAGTTCGTTCCCTAGGCTGCTAAGTATTATAGAAATACACGTCCCATGCTTGCGGGCAACTCGGCAAAAATGATGATTCTGCTATCGTTAATCGAACCCACACCATCACGCCCAAGTGATGATATTCAAAGAGGCCAGATATATGCAGCGTACACTCCTTGCTATGTTTTATGTTACCAGCCCATTAAACGTGTATTGCTGCATTGTAGGTTTGTGCAAAAGTAAATTCTAAGTTCGAAACGAATAGTGATTTGGTACAAATAATTTTGAATCGAAAAGTAATATGTACAACATATTATAAGAAAAAATGAGCACATTTGTCATGACCCAACTAACCTGCACATTATTTCTTTATTAACTGAAAAAAGCCATGTGCGTATGCAATCTTTTGAGGGGTTCCAAGAAAGTTGAAGAAACATTGAATAGTAGTAGGATATGACTTTCGGTAGAATGTAAAAGATAACATGTAGAATATGCTGTTCTAAATGTTACTATATTTAGACCATATAGGCCACTATAACAAGCTCTAAAAGTTAAAGAAAGAAGAATATATGTGAGGGTAATATGTTCATTTAATCTTGAAGTGAGTCATTGCAGAAGTGTGGATTTACTCTGGAAAGCTGTATTCGCAGTACAGCATCCTTCTATTGCAGAGAAACCACTTTTACAAGGGTGTTTCATGAGGGCAAATATGCACTCATTCGTTCATTTTGAATAGTATGTTGAAATTCACAATAATTTAAATTCAAATGAAAAAGAATTCAAAGATTTCAATATTCATTCGAATGTTTCAAGTGCTCAAATATTCGCACAAGCCTACTGCGTTGTGCAGAACTGCGCCCGAATGTCCAGGAAAATTACAGGTTATTTTGAAATTTTCTTTTAGGCTTGAGCATGCAAGCACAAGCACTAGAGATTATCCTAGAACTAACATGGCCACCAGCGATAAGACTCAAGTGTTCGACGCCGCATGTGTAATTGCGGACGTCACTTAACTCGACGGTTGATGGTTGTCCAAGCCACTGTCATTTTACAGCATGAATCACTGGCTTATCGTATTTTCATTTTCCGGGCAAAGTTTGCCTGAATCAAAAGTTTAGTCTTGAACATGCCAATGGCTGCCTTCATCGACGTCCCAACCACATGTAAATATCTACGACAGTCAACTTGCCTGAATAGACACTGTAGAAGAACTGGCACCGAAGTGTTTTTCTACCACACTCTGTACCCTCTGGACAACCAGGAAGAGGTCTTGAACTTCTTCAGTGGATAGGTCACTCAACCGAAGTGCTGGCCTGATTGGCGCCACCAGGACATCTGATGTAGGCGAAGTCACGGAAAAAGAAGCTAAAGAAGTAACACACATGTACCGCTGTTTAACTGGCAATAGAAGCGTAATCCAGAACGTACACATGCGGCTCGTGTCAAATACGAGTTTTAATATTCGGCTTGCTCATGTCATTGTTGGGGGTATGCGAATCGAAAATTTCAAAAACAAATCGAATAAGAATCAAATAGTGATGAGACCAAATTAAATATGAATACTAATTAATAGTTTTTTAATAGTAAGACAACCATTTTGAAAGCAGTTCTAGAATTCCACAACATATTATATTTGAAACAAATATTCACTGGCTTTCCCCAAAGAACCTTACTGATTGCTTTTAACCGACTCGAGTTACCTCAGTTACGAAAAGTGGAGTAAGCTCGTGTACAGCAGTGACCAGAGCCTTTGAGGTATTTTGTAACTCTACGATGAAATATAGCAGTGGCTTCAGTATTCAAGGTGGTACTTTCTTGCCAGCTCTAAATAAAACTAACACATAACATAAACTAAAAATATTTGAACCACATACCACACATACAGCTAAAGCTGTAATGAAACATAAACCTGTCATAACAACATGAGCTTCGGAATCGAAAGCACGTAAAAATCAGTGTTGAAAGCTGTATCTGCTAGAACAATTTTACCCAACATAACTCTCGCATCTGCAGTTATTCATAAACTTAATAATGCCACAGTCTCCCCTTTTAGTTATTACCAGATAAAAAGAAACTGAAAAAATGTGATGCAGCTGCAGCATAGTAAAAACTAAGAGTGGGGATTGCAAAAAAAAAAAATGCCTTCATCCACTATACAACATAGTGCCAGTAGTCTCATAAAAGGCTTCATGCATATTGATTGGCGAGTTTGTTAATGAAAGGAGAAAAAAATGACCTGTGGTAGTTCCAAAATTTCATTGTGTTGGGATATTGCTATCAATGCTGATTATTCAAAAAATATGTACGGATCCCAACATGAAACATAACGATCGTTTACTGATCTGGGAGCAGCAGCGGGGAAATCATGCCGACACTGCGCTCAAACTGTTAGAAAAACAGTTTCTAATTGTTTTTCTAACAGTTAGAAAAACAGTTAGAAAAACAATCCGAAAAGCGAGCCTGGCAGCTTGGGTCTTATAGCCACCTGTGGTGACGTCAGCCTCCAGTCAAAATGTGCATTGCAGCATGCGGCCGAGTAACGCTGGCTGCGCCGGTTTGTGCGCCGTGTGTCAACACATATTCGTTAGTTCAAACATATACTATTCGATTCGAGTACTGAATCGAATAGTCATACTCTTAGAGTACAATATCCACTAATACCAGTGTCACATGGGCACGTTTAATTGTGATCAGGGCCAGCCTCGATCGAGTCATGCTACAAAGTCACATTTAATGACGACCAGGCCGAATTGGAATCAAAACGATAACAACCTGCGCATCATGGTCCGGCTTCATGGTCGCAATTTGACCGACACCTGCACCAAACTCAATACAAGTTAGGCTGTACCGTGAAGCAGCGACATACTTGATCGCAATGAAGATGTCCGATTTGGATAGGCCCTCACTGCAGTCAAAAGTGCTCGTGTGACATCAGTATAACTGAATATGTGCTAAATTAATGAATTTAAACGTCACATACAAAACAAGAAGCCAGGTATGCATGGATATATATATATTATATATATATAAATATATATATATATATATATATATATATATATATATATATATATATATATATATATATATATATATATATATATATTGCTGCGACAGGTTCGCCACATTCAAGTAGCCCGCCACAATCATCGTCACCAGCACCAGCAAGACCCGGCTCGGCTGGCATGCGCAACGCGTTCGGACGTTCAACAACGAGGAAGAGGAAGTTAGTCAGATCTGTGCCACTCGGCTACTCGAACTTGACGACCATAGTTTTTAGAATCGTGGGCACAAGTTCGCCCTAATAAAGACGCTTGTTTTTTTAACCTGTCGGCGTCAGCATCGCTACATTTCTGGTGGAGTTGCTGGGTTATGAATCGAAGCCCCACGAGCTCAAGACAGCGTAGCCCCGACGACCAGCGTATCAACCCCGTGGAAGTGACTCCTGTACACCAGAGGGCAAGTCGCCGTCTTCGAGGTGACTCACCTGAGTTCGGTCCTCTTCACTTCATACCAAGGGGAATTCAAACGATGGATGCCACCACTATGACTAGCCAGGTAACACCGGCACAAGTGTTCATTAGCCAACCGCACCAGCCGCCAGTTTTCCACGGCGACTCGTACGAGGATGTTGAAGATTGGTTGGACCTGTTCGAGAGAGTAGCGGGCTTGAATGGATGGGACGAAAGAGAGAAGCTCCGTCGCGTATACTTCGCCCTGGAAGACTTCGCGAAGACATGGTTTGAGAACCATGAAACCTCGTTGTCTACCTGGGATGTATTTCGACGACAAGTGGTGGCTACGTTCGCGAACATAGACAGGAAAGAAAAGGCGGAGGCAGCTCTTCAATCGAGAAACCAGCTAACAAACGAGAGTGCTGCTATGTACATTGAGGACATGGTTCGCCTGTTCAAGCGTGCGGATTACAACATGGCTGAGGATAAGAAGGTGCGCCATCTAATGCGCGGAGTGAAGCAAGAGCTGTTCGCCGTTCTCGTCCGCAACCCTCCGAGCACGGTTGCTGAGTTTTACTCGGAAGCGACGGCCATCGAAAGAACACTGGAACAGCGGGCTCGGCAGTACAACCGGAATATTAACTGCGCATCTGCACAGGTATTTCCCGGAGGCGTGCTAAAACGGCGTTGAAGCCCTGCGAGAGCTAATTAGATCAGTTATCAGAGAAGAACTGAGCAGACTGCATATGCCCCACACTTCAACTGCACTATCTGTTACGGACGTTGTTCGTGACGAACTGAGGCAGGTGATACGAGAGCCAGAGCGTGAGCTGCAGCCGGTTCGACCTATCCGAACATACTCTGAGGTTGTCAGACAACCCACGGTACACAGCAATGCAGCAGTTGCGATGGCAACGACTCCTCTCCCACCTGCGGCACGCAGCGCACCTCGTCCACGGGAACCGACAGCTACCTATCTGCCCCCAGGAGCACGTAGCACACATCACTATGTGCAGCGTAGGCCCAGGAAAAGTGACGTCTGGCGTGATCACGAGCGCAGGCCTCTGTGTTTTCATTGTGCGGAAGCGGGTCATCTGTACAGATTCTGTCCTTACCGACAGGCTGGATTAAGAGGCTTCCCGTCATATGCACCGTGCCCCCGAAACGGCGAACGACCAGCGGAGATTGAGGAGTACTTGTCGACGCGCCAGAACTCGCCAACTCTACGCCAACACCGGTCACGGTCACCATCGCCTATGCGTTACCGGTCATCCAGCCCACGTACACCTTCAAGGCTGCCTGGTCATCGCTCTCCAAGTCCACACCCGGAAAACTGAAGCAAGCGACCTGTGGAGGTGAGGCCGCTGATAACGTCAGTTACAAAGATCCTCCAATTTGGTTTGAGCGTGATGACGGTGTATTTCCGGTAGATGGGTGCAGCAACGAAAACGTTACTTCAGATTTGCGGTTGAGAATGGAAGGATGGGAGCTGAATGCCTTAGTCGACACCGGTGCTGATTATTCAGTGATAAGTCACAAGATGGTGAAAAAGCTAAAAACAAAGTTGTGACACAGTGGAGTGGATCGCAGATACGCACGGCAGGCGGTCACATTATTACGCCCCTTGGCAGATGCACTGCAAGACTTGAAATACGGGGCTTTATTTACGTGGCCGATTTCATTGTGCTGCCAGAATGTTCAAGAGAACTCATTATAGGAATGGATTTTTTGCGAGCTAATGGCGCCGTAATTAACCTGCGTAGGTCCAGCGTGTCGTTTTCGACTGAACGAGCTATACCTGTGGAGGAATCTGAGGAACGACGCCTAACTGCTCTACGCGTTGTTCATGATGACGTAACTGTGCCGCCACGCTGCAGTATAATGGTGCTCGTAGAAAATGATGCATTGTACAACCGCGAAGGCATAGCGGATACAAATGTAGGACTGTTTTTGAACAAAGGTGTCTGCGTAGCTAGGGGTCTTGTTCACTTGACGAATGGCCGTGCAGATGTCTTACTCACAAATTTCTCCAATGAGCTTCAACACATCGCTCAAGGCACGGCTATCGCCTATTTACACGACTTCTGTATGGCGACCGAACTATGCAGCTTAACGACATCAACCACTCGACCAGTGGCCTGCAACATCGACACATCCGTGACCGTCAATCAGAGCCTTCCGGACAGTCAGAAGAAACAGATTTACGCCTTGGTAAAAGAATTCTCTGATTGCTTTTCAAGTACCTCGAAGGTCCAGCGCACGTCAATCACGAAACACAGAATTATAACGCAAGACGACACGAGGCCTATATGCCAGCATCCATATCGGGTGTCACAGAAAGAACGGGAAATTATCAAGAAGCAAGTGGAGGAGATGCTTTCTGATGATGTCATCCAGCCTTCGAATAGTCCATGGGCGCCTCCCGTAGTGCTCGTTAAGAAGAAAGACAACACACTTAGATTCTGCGTCGACTACAGAAAACTGAACAGTGTGACTAAACGAGATGTCTACCCCTTGCCACGTATCGACGATACACTAGATCGGTTGCGATCCGCAAAGTTTTTCTCCTCCTTAGATCTGAAAAGCGGATATTGGCAAATAGAGGTCGACGAGCGGGACCGTGAAAAAACGGCCTTCGTAACACCAGATGGCCTCTACAAATTCAAAGCGCTTCCATTCGGCCTCTGTTCCGCACCAGCGACGTTCCAGCGAATGATGGACACTGTCCTCGCCGGACTGAAATGGCAGTCATGCCTAGTGTATTTGGATGACGTGGTGGTATTCTCTGCAACGTTCGACAAACATCTAGAGCGACTACGCACAGTATTGGAAGCCATCCGGTCAGCGAAATTGACGATCAAACCCGAAAAATGCCACTTCGGCTTCGAAGAGCTGCGATTCCTTGGACATGTCATTAGTTCCGAGGGTGTTCGTCCCGATCCCGAAAAGACAGCCGCTGTTCAGAGGTTCCCTACACCCAGAGACAAAAAGTCAGTGCGTCGATTTTTGGGTTTATGTGCCTATTATAGACGATTTGTGGAAAACTTCTCAAAGATTGCGGAACCTCTTACAAAACTGACAAAAGACGACGTGCCCTTCACGTGGGAAAGCGAACAACAGAAAGCTTTTGACGAATTAAGGAAACGACTACAGGGTTCACCAATACTTGCCCATTTTGATGAGACAGCCGACACAGAAGTCCATACCGATGCCAGCAATGTCGGCCTCGGCGCCATCCTTGTCCAGTGGCAAAATGGTCAAGAGAAAGTGTTAGCCTATGCCAGCCGCAAACTATCAAAAGCTGAGGCAAACTACTCTGCAACTGAAAAAGAGTGCCTCGCAGTCATCTGGGCCATAAACAAGTTTCGACCCTACCTTTATGGTAGACCGTTCAGAGCTGTCAGTGACCACCATGCTCTATGCTGGCTGGCAAATCTCAAGGACCCGTCAGGTCGACTAGCAAGATGGAGCCTTAGGCTGCAGGAGTATGATATTACGGTCGTGTACAAATCGGGAAGGAAACACAGCGATGCCGACTGCCTGTCACGCTCTCCTGTCGATCCAAGTGTACCTGAAGAGGAAGACTTTCCGTTTCTAGGCGTTGTCGACACATCCAAAATCGCTCAACTACAACGAGATGACCCGGATTTGCTGGCACTTATACAACACCTGCAGGGTCTCGACGTTCAAGTCCCTCGCATATTCTCCAGAGGGCTCTCCGCGTTCTGCCTTCGAGGAAGTGTCCTTTACAGGAGGAACTTCGAACCTAATGGTGAAACGTTTTTACTAGTCGTGCCCACAGCCATGCGAGAGGAAATTCTGCACGCATGCCACGACGAGCCAACATCTGGACACATGGGTGTGAGCCGAACATTCGCCAGGATTCGCCTGAAATACTATTGGCCTAAGTTGCTCGCATCAGTGCAGCGCTACGTGAAAACTTGTCGTCAATGTCAACGGCGCAAAACTCCACCCGTAAAACCAGCCGGCCTTCTCCAGCCAATAGACCCTCCAGATGCCCCATTCCAACAAGTCGGCATGGACTTCCTAGGACCTTTGCCGACATCGCGTGCAGGCAAGAAATGGATAGTCGTAGCCACAGACTATCTCACCCGTTATGCTGAAACTGACTCTCTATACAGTGCGACAGCTGCCGAAGTCGCCAAGTTCTTTGTGAACAACATAGTGCTCAGACATGGTGCGCCAATCGTCGTTATTACGGATCGGGGCACCGCATTTACTGCAGACCTAATGCAATGCCTGATGCGCATGACAAATACCGATCACAGAAGAACAACGGCGTATCACCCTCAGTCAAATGGCTTAACCGAACGCCTCAACAGAACTCTGACCGACATGCTATCAATGTATGTTGATGTTGAACATAAACAGTGGGACGAAATATTACCCTACGTAACATTCGCATATAATACAGCCGTTCAAGAAACAACCCACGTTGCCCCTTTCGAACTAGTATTCGGCCGAAGAGTGACCACCCCGCTGGATGCCATGTTACCACTACAGGACGAAAGCAGCTATCCACCTGACTTAGATGACTTCTTGCAAAGAGCCGAAGAAGCACGGCAAATGGCAAGATACCGAATACGCCACCAACAGCACGTCGATTCTAGTCGCTACAACAAGCGACGCAGTGACACACTTTATCATCCCGGTGACAAAGTGTGGATATGGATACCAGTGCGCCGCCGCGGACTCTCTGAAAAGCTTCTTTGCCGATACTTCGGCCCTTATGAAGTACTCAACCGTATCAGCAACGTCACTTATGAAGTTAGGTCCGCTGGACACGTGAGTTCAAGACGCCGCAATCCCACGGAAGTGGTCCACGTAGTCCGCATGAAGCCCTATCATGACAGATCGTCGAAAAACGAGTGAGAGTGCGCGTGTATCTTTTCACTGTCTTAAGCATCGGGACGATGCGTCTGAGGAGGGGGGCAATGCTGCGACAGGTTCGCCACATTCAAGTAGCCCGCCACAATCATCGTCACCAGCACCAGCAAGACCCGGCTCGGCTGGCATGCGCCACGCGTTCGGACGTTCAACAACGAGGAAGAGGAAGTTAGTCAGATCTGTGCCACTCGGCTACTCGAACTTGACGACCATAGTTTTTAGAATCGTGGGCACAAGTTCGCCCTAATAAAGACGCTTGTTTTTTTAACCTGTCGGCGTCAGCATCGCTACAATATATATATATATATATATAAGGAAAAGAAGTGTATACCTAAGGGCTCGTTTTTCCGTGCTTTGACACAATATTTATAAGATCTAACAGACAATAATGCCGAAAAATGTATAGGGGATGTAAATAAAAAAGAGAAAAGTGGGTGAAAAAATAACTTACCCTGCTCACGGCAAGTTATTTTTTCACCCACTTTTCTTTCTTCTTATTTACATTACATTGGTTCTAATAACTTCCCTTTACATTCCTTGGCATTGATGTCTGTTAGATCATTATATATATATATATATATATATATATATATATATATATATATATATATATATATATATATATATATATATATATATATATATATATATATATATATCAAAACATTTATCTGAAAAAGAAACAAGGAAAAAAAAAGATTGCGGAAATTTCGCCGGCTGTTTGCGGGGAGTTAATTTCGGTTGGCCTGTTGTGACAATCCCACGTTATGTCGGCGAGAGTGGGCCTGCCTCTGCACCACGGACAACTATCGCTGTACATCGCAGGTTGAGTGGCATGCTTCAACAAAAGATTTTGATATGTGTTTCGTTTGTATACGGCACCAGTCATAAGAGTTCCGCCGCCCGGTTAATTCTGTGTGTGGTACACTGTACCTTCGTCGCTCAAGTCGTTGGTTTTCAAGGATATCTCGCGGTAAAAAGAAGCTGTCGTCGGAGTGGTAGGCCGCTCGGTTGGTTAAAGCACGAGCTGCGCCGTCTGCTCTCTCATTGACATCGTGTCCTGCGTGAACCGGCCACCAGATAATAGCATGGTCCTGCGTTAGGTCTGGTCCCAATAGGCGACAGAGAGATATCCAAGAAAGTCCAGCGAAGCTTTGACTGTAGTCGGGTCTCGTATAATGTATGTTAATATAGTGAAATTAAATAGTACTAGCATTATTGACTATATTTAGTGAATAACAAGGCATGCACTATATGATCCTGGTGTTTCTCTTGTGCAGGATGCTTATTCTGTCACCAATGGTGGCCAACGGCACTTTCAAAACGAAACCCTGCGGTGCATAAGGAAGCTCACCGTTTTGAAAGCACTAAAACAACATTATGCTGATTTGTCATGCAAATAGTCTTTTCTTTGAAGCAAGACGGTTTGTGTCATTCTGCTGTGTCAGGGGAACCACATAATTTTATGTTTACTCAATTTTTTTTCTATGCAAAAATGTGGAGCCGCCATGGTATAGCTCAGTTGGTAGGGTATCGAACGCATATTCGAAGGTTGCAGGTTCGGTCAGCAAGCTATCATTTTGTCCACTTTTTGTTTCGCATTCCAATTACGACTATTACTAATAATACACCTATACATTTTTGGCCATTATTGTCTGTTGATATTGTCCCTATGCCTTCACATGTAACACCCCCATTGCATTTTCTTACTTCTTTATTTACATACACACAGTTATTCAGTGCAGACTCTGTTTGTCCAGCGTTCTAACTAAATCATGACTACACTTCTTCCTGAACATCCCGCAGACTTAAAGACGTCCACGATAAACAACAAAGCAACGTCAAAGGCAACAAGGATACGTCCTGGAAGCACAGGCATCTTGTTAACGAAGGCCATTGACAGGGAAGTCTTGAAGAAGAGCTGCGATGCCTCCAACGTCACCTGGCCAAATTGGTACTGGGCCTTGTCTGGTATTACTGCAAAAAGTAGAATTACAGTTCTAGAAAATTGAAAGAAAACGTGCATCAAGCTGGGGAACACTTCAATTCCTGGGCTCTATGTGCCAAAAGTACAGTACGATTACGAACAAAAGAGGAGGAATCAATCGAGGGCTTTCAATTCAATGGGTCGAGCGAAACTCATGACACTGAAGCAAGGCAGAAGCAGAAGTTATATCTTTTGTGCACTGGATTGACTAAGATGTACAATCATTCTCTTCCACTATTAGATTCCCGCTCGTATAAGGCAGTTTCAGTATTATTGCCGCTACCCAATGAAACGCTTACGCAGGAACTGGAGCTTTAAGACTTCGAGCTGTCGCTATCAAGCAGTGAAAGCAGAGCGATGAAATTTACCGAGTCGCCCATGTTGTCTCGCCATTAGTACCAAAGCTTGAAACTATCAGCAGTGCCCCCAAGCAGGCTGACATACTAATAGAAAGTGCATCGTGCAGAGTTCTGGCCAACACCGCAGATTTCGGCAGGGCAACATTTTGCATTCTACTGAGGCACTCCAGCTCTGCTCCTGCATTACAACACTTGATTCTCGCCCTCGCTCTTGCAAGTGGAACAAACTTGCTTCAAAACGAGCACGTTTGTTTGAGCAAGACCTGGTTGTGCAAGTATGGTGATTCAGTTTCTGTTTGGCCATCTTCGAATGCAAAAGAGCCGGGTGAACAAAGAGGAAGTTGAAATTGGGTGGGTAGCCATCGCCGCGTTTGACTGGGTGGTTAGGGGCACCGAAGCTCGTGTGCTCGGCCAGTCACACTATGTGGGCACCACCGGGCCCGCATCAACGACGCAACAGTCCCACAATGCCGCCAGGCCTCAGGGAAAAGTACCCATCACAAGCACCTTCGACCTGCCCTCTAACAAGATCCAAACAAGCAGGTGATCATGCTGCCCAGTGCCCGTATTCGCCACAACAACATGGTTGCAGATATCTCCAGGATGTCTCTGCTTCAAAGCTCGGCTCTAATAATTCATCGTGCTACCCGGTGCCAGTGTTTGCCACAACGGTGTGAGTGAGTGGTCGTTGACTTAAGCATTGGGTCACGGGTGTACGGCGCCGTGCACTTTGTGTACGGATATGCTTAGTATTGGATATGCTTGGTATTTGTGGTATATGCTTGGATATGCTTGGTATTAGAAGTGACCAGTTTATGTGTATTGTGTCAATTGCCTACGTCTTTCAGTTGTGCTCCGTTTGAATTGATAAAATAATTTTCTAAGTTTACTGTCTCGATTCTGAGCGTCCCAGTTCCTGGACCCACGAACAACCACAGCAAACGAAAGCTTCAAACAAAATTCTAGGTGCCTAAACTACCAACAGACTATTGTGCTCGCATGCTCCTTGCGTTTTTACCTCAGATAGTGAGGAAGGATATTTGGAGAGGCAGACAGACAAGCCAATGAACGCATTTGCTAAAGGCTTGTGCACAACTGCAATGCCACAACTAAATTTCGCGTGAATTGCCACAGGATACCCATTCTTTGTTTCAAGGCGACACAGAAATACACTGCAAAACTCGCTTTACTAGGCCAGTAAAGCTTTCACTTTAAAGTTGCTCTGACTCTGCCACTGGAATTCTACGTTAAAGATAGAGTGCACGAATGAGGACTAACAGCTGCCAGTACTTGCCTTTGTCTTTGGAGTCCCAACATGGTGAGAGGTTACCATAGAGGTCGGTCCTCCGGTGGTCCCAGACTGGGATGGCCCGTCGCGCCTTCTTGAGCAGATCGTGGTTGATCTCGGCCAATGCCAGGCCGATTCCATCTGAACATTGGGCCACTACACAACCCCACGGATCGACGACCTGACATAAAATGGAAGGACGTGCATTCGATCAGAGTGTTAAAAAACAGAGAACCAGTTGAGACTAGTACACGTATCATTCAGAAACTTAACAGGGCACTCGCTACACACTAATGAAATCTGAAATGCCCTAGAAAGCCAGTGAACTTATCATGTGTGATTATACCGTACGAACGATTTGAAATTTCCTTGTGAGTTAGCAAGTAAGTGAATTAACCTATACTGAAATGCCATAATCGTCTCTCTTGGCATGTGAAGACATTTCAAAGCTACAGGAAGTGCAAAACTCAAAGTGGCTATGCTGCCATGATGCTCCAGCACCAATGGCCTGTGACATCACAGCTTTTGACAGTATCTTCTAAAGCCTATACAATTCATAAGTAGTTCAAACTTATCGCACTGACATCCTGAAAAGCAAGACGCCGATCACAAACTTTTGGGACCCTTTACAGACTCAAGATGGGCAAAATATAAAAAAAAAATATTTTAAAATTTGTGATATATTGCTGTGCCAGCATGGGGGTTCGTGAAATTCAACGAGTATTAGCTTCACCTTCATTTTTTTCTTCTACTGATAAACCTGCAATTACCAAAATGATTTGTGATGAACTTCGCAAGCCATAATTTGTCAGTGCGCACTAATTTAATGCCCCTTTAACATTGCAGTAACTCACCAGTGCATGTCCGTAAGAAGACCGCTTGGCATTGTGCTGTCCAACTTGAGCCGCAGATACAACGTAGCACTGGTTCTCAATGGCACGCGCTCGCATCATCGCCTGTGCCGACAAAAATAAAAGAAAGCAAGAAAGCTCACAATGATGCTGGTATGCTGCTTTTTATTCTCAAAGAAACACTAGAGAAAAAAAGGATGCTTCTGTTGTTAGTATATTTCTCTAACATGATACTAAAAACGCCATGCTTGCTACGAGAAGACATTTGGTAAGCAAGAAAACTCGCAAGAAGAAAACACCGCTGCAAAGTTTCCATCCCAGTCACTGTGATGTCATAGATTTTGCCCACATCTACTATACTTGGCGACAACTTTTCTTGGCTTTGAAAGGAAAGCTAGGGGGCGGAGCTTCTGCACATGCAGCCTTATGTGAAGTAGTCTGATGCGGAGCGCGTCTTGTAACGCTGTGGAAAGTGACGGGGGCCCACCATCAGGGTTTCATGCAGATGCAGACACTGCTTGGCGTTTGAGGTACATATAAAAAGATGGCACTTTCTCGTGCATATGAAAACTCTGTAAATTTAAACAAATACAGCAGTCTTGCTGATGTCGGCTGCATCCTATCTCAAATAGCTCCATGCAGAAAATAAAAGAAGAACTTTTACATTTCATGTTGGAAATACGTTTGCTATTGGGGAACTACATTCAGTGGTGGTAGAATGCAGGCGATTTGCCCCTGTAGCCTTCGCTTCAATGCCAAGAAAAGTTGCCCGCGAGTATAGGGCCTATGTAGTTCTTCATTGATAAAAATGAAGCGCAATGTCCTCTGAGATCACCAGGAACTTTACGTACAAGGTTTCAGGAAATTTCAAAGAGGCAATGAGGCCAGAATTCAAAAAAAGAACCTTTAAAAAAATAAAGTCTGTGATGTCCCTATTGAAGAATTTGGCAGGAAATTCAAAAGCGAGACTTCTGGCATTGATTTTTCTCATCTGTTAATAAAACTATGGTGCTGAAATTAATGAGACTAGAGTTTTTAGAGCATAAGTATAAACTAAACTATCGTTTCCCTTTAATGTTCCTTCAATCCTTCACAATCCAGCAAATGTGCCGATAACAATCCACAACAGGAGTGTAGTGGGAAGTAGTGAATAAAAGTGCTAATGGCATTACCATTACCAATAATTCAATTGAGATCACCGCTTATGTTTGCTCGATCCATTTTGCAGAAACTTTAAAAGCAGTGGCATGGTTGCATGGTGGCCCAAGAATGTCAAAGGACAAAACTGACAGTAGTATGGCACATGAGGGTAACACTGCACATCGTGAGCAAGAATAAAAGGGGATCAATAATCTTGACAGAATGTTCCATTGCAGTATATGAATTTAAGATCAAATAAATGTGTAACACTCTAATAGTAATATTTTCCTTTTTTGTTCTCTCTCATTAACTTCGAGTTAAACCAAGAGTATTGCCAGCTTAAAAACGTCAACAAATGTTCCAGTTGTTCATTCATCTTGTAAGTGTCCATTTTGTATTATAAACAATTGGGCTGAGTGAAAAAAATATGTGCGATGGTGCTGGTGAATTCCCCGATGCTTAAGTAAGCCTCTTAAAAAAAACTACCAGGTAACTCTGGCATGATAATGTACCATCGAATTTTTTTCATATACTCACATGGAATATGACACTTCAAGGCATACTGAAATAATATTTGTGCTGTTGCAACAAAGAAGAAAAAAACTAATTAAAAAAACTCTCATTAGACCACGTTCACATGCCTTCTGCAGGCGCCAAACATACACCAATGCATATAAACTGACCTCCCAGTGAGCCATTCCGGTGGGCACTGTAAACGCCGACGGGTACGTCAATATCTCGGCCCCCATTTTGGCCAGGCTGAGAGAGAATTCGGGAAACCGCAGGTCATAGCAGTGGAGCGAAAGAGTTAAGGACACAATGCAACTTCAAAATCTTTTTTAGCAGTTCACTGAGTACATGCCAAAGGTTCTGTAACACAGCGTGCTTGTGTAATGGGCAAAATGTGCTGCCTTGCGATGACTGGTAGCCCCTATCCTTGTGTGTTTTCCTGTATGACATCAGTGTACTGTAGCAAACGGAGCAATTTCCACTAAGCAGCATCAAAATAAATTTAAAACACAGTGGGTCGTCCAAAAATTAAAATATATGTTTGGATTAACCCAAAGTATAAACTATGAAGAGCCTCCTGTACACTCAAACCTCATTATAACGAAGTTGCATCTTAAGCAAAAACAAGTTTATTATATCCAAATACGTATTCGTTATAAAGGTTATTCCTAACACTGCGTCTATTCCGTTACTATTCATTATTTACTTTGTTATGAACAATATTTCTTTATATTCAGGTTTGTTATATATCAGACTAAATAAAAGCAGAAAACTGACAGGAAAACACACAAGGCAGGAAGGATAGGAGCTACCTGGTACCACTCCCTTGTCCTGTCAATTTTGTGCTGCTTTCCTTTAAATTATACATATAACAATAGCGATTCTGAACCTAAACTAGCAATCTTTATTTATACAAAATGAAAGTCTGCACATACCAAGTAAAAGTTTAAAAAGAGGACTACAACAACTAAACAAGAGAAGTAAAGGACGAACTAACTTGGGAGGACATTTGAGCTTCACCTTCAAGAGTACAACCTGATAGTGTAATCAGGCCCCATGCACGTCGCCTTCAACCATGCTGCAAAGACAGTATCGTTTGTGTGCGTAACGTCGGCCATTTCAAACCTTTCTGAAATCTGGGATATAGCGCATTCAGGACGGGACAGAGAAGACACAACAGTAAGCCCGCCATGCAACCTTAGTAAACATCCTGGAATGTCTACTGATTGTACAGCTGCTTAGTACATACACACTACACCATAATTCTTCCTTTCACTAATTGGCAAAGTACCCACTACTCGTTCATAACATGTCGCATACACGTACTTGCACACTTTAAAATGAGTGGGCAGCTCTAAACCACCCACTCGTTGAGCAATTCACAAGTTTTGACGCTTGGTGCGATTCTAGAAATCTGCCGTGACACATGGCATACGTTAATGCGACTCCTTCCACGTCAAATTTATATATTGTTTTTTAACAAAGCTGTTGCAAGCAATGACATGGCTCTTTGGTAGAACACATGTTTGCCACACGGACGGCTTAGGTCTGATCCTCACTTCAAACTGAAAATTTTTATTGTTCATTTTATTTGCGTCTTATTAAATTTTTTGGCACAGACAAGGTAATAATTTTTCAATACCAACCACTGACGCCAACACCATGCCCGAATCTCTGAAAAAGAAGCTCTTTGACGCCATTGTGTTAAAAAGTCAACCAGAGCCAGACACAGAGAAAACAAATCTTTTCGGCATAGCATCACATGTTAAAAACGTATGCTAAAAGACACACACCTGTTCTAGGCACTACATATAATGTAACAAAAAAAATACAAGAAAGGATATAATTCCAAGGCCTACTTTTCCAGCAGGCGTGGCGACAGGTGTGGGGATCGCCGACCCCGCAACTGTGTAGTCAGACTCTCGGCTCCTCACCGTTCCAACAGCAACGTCGAAGAGGTGCACCTTGCTATAGGTTCCTATCGTGTCTCCCGTGCTGTTGATGATCACATGCATGTTGTAAATGCGATTGCTTGCTTCTTTTGGATCCTGAAAGGTGTTGTTATAAAGACCAAACACAATATAGCCCATTATGCATCCTGCATGCTCGCCAATGCTGCTGTTTGGGATTGGCTGTAATATGCACCACTATTTGAGCTAATACCGGTAATTAGCGTAACTTGTGTACTGTGTATACATTGCATACGTAACACAATGTGCATCCCGAGTTAAAATGCCTTGTAATCTGACGTCTGATATCACTAGCTCAGCACTTGCACGGTAACACCTATTCTGCCGAACTGTTGAATTTTGCCATTTGTTTTCAATGTGAACTTACTTTGTTCTTACTCTTGTATCTGACCCCCCTTACACAATGCCTCTGCGAAACTTGTGTTAGTAAATAAATAAATCCACCTCTACTTCATCCCACTAAATACTTCATATACTATATTTGCTCTCTTTTGCGAAATTGGCACAAGCTTTGTATTTCTGAAAAAAATTGTGTTTTTTTTACTAAGAGAATGCAGATATTCGAACTTTTGAGTATTTTTCAAATAGTTTTTGCTATTCAACTTGCACTGGAATCATACTATTCGAAGTATTCCAATTTCCAAAGACAAACACAGTCAACATTCTATCGACAATGACCACTACAGATTTTTATTATGCTTCACCCCACCATACTCTCAAATTGCAGCGAAGCTGTTTTTCAGATTGATGATTGATTTGTAGGGTTTAACGTCCCAAAACTACCATATCATTATGAGAGACGCCGTAGTGGAGGGCTCCGGAAATTTCGACCACCTGGGGTTCTTTAACGTGCACCCAAATCTGAGTACACGGGCCTACATTTCCGCCTCCATCGGAAATGCAGCTGCCACAGCCGGGATTTGATCCCGCGACCTGCGGGTCAGCAGGCGAGTACCTTAGCCACTAGACCACCATGGCGGGGGCGGTTTTTCAGACTTTGCTACGATTGCAAATGTGTCAACTCAAGAAAACGCTGGGTCTACCATGGAGATGTACTGTGCTGTTACAATGGCTCCTTCATATTTTTCCAATACGCTTCATCGCATCACATTAAGGTATTGCAACAAAGCAGTCTTTAGGGCTCCACTACAGCTAAAACTGGATTTACTAACTGAAACGCTGGTTCGAACCTACGTGGCAGAGGTGGGAACATTAATTAATGCCGTTTCTGCTGTTCCGGACCAGAGAGCCCGAAAAAATCGGATGAAGATTTTCAGCATTTGACATTTCTGATGTGTTATAGATTGTTGTCTACAGGTTAGTTTACCAACTCCTATTCGAAGGAGCATGCCCTTGCCCGTCAATCAGTTGGGCCTCCGCAGAAGTTGAAGAGGGGAGAGGTGAAGGAAGTAACTTTTTCTTTCACATGTAAAGTGTTGTGACCCCATTGGTTGCCACCAAATCATGTTATGATGTACATAAATATAATTCAGTCTCCGCATCGCCTCATCCTTAATTAAACAACTGGGGAAAGCCATCCCTCCAGCACTTCACCAACCTAGCCGAAATAAACACTTCCATGGTTCCTACCTCATAAAAATGTATTCTGCAACCTTTTTTCTGTATGCACGCTCACTTCAAAGTATTGGAAAAATAGTGAACAAATATTCGACAACTATTCAAAAAATATTCAATTTGATTTGCACTCATGTATGTAATTGAATTCACTTACCACACAAAATTTTGCTATTCGCACAGCTCTAGCTCTTATATTCGCACAGCTCTAGCTCTTACACGGCAGATTTGGAACTCCAGACTCAGAAGGAGCACACCTTGTCAACCACATCAGTTGGGCTTCCACAGAAGCTTGAAAAGCAAGAGACGCTGAGAAAATAGCATCTTTGCTTTTCAATTGGAAAGCATTGTCCACAACACCTTGGATACGCCAAATTATCAACATAAATTAAATTCAGCCTCTGCGTTGCCTCTGATATGACAACTATATGAAACACCACCCTGTCAGCGCTTCACCGAAAGGAAACGCTTTTATGTGGTTATCTCATAAGAGTTTGCTTACGAATCCTCTTCGCTTCAAAGTATTAGAAAAATATTCTATACAGTTCCCGCTCAAATTTCAATATTGGAATTCTCTTTGCACTCAAAATTTTTCTATTAGCACAGCTCTAGTTTTTACAGATACTATCCCATCAATGTTCTGCAGAACATTCACACTGCTTTTCTTTAATGCCTTCTTAAAAACTGCACATTAGCTCTTCTGCCATAAAGTAAGGGTTGACTGTGCACGAAATGGAGTGCAAGCTAGGTTACGTATTCCCCACAACATATAGTATGCATGCATGAGCCTTACAGATATATTTTTCTAAAGGAATAACTTAAATGCCCAAGAAGCATGAGCCTTACAGATATATTTTTCTAAAAGAATAACCTAAATGCCCAAGAACTTGTACACGGAAAACCGTTTTAAAATTTAACTACAGAGGCAGGTTTGCAGAACACTTTATGATGTTTGCCAAGCAGCTAGGTTAAAACCATGTTGGCGGCCTCACCTAGTAGTTAGCTGGTTGAAGTAATGGATAAGTGTTTCAATGAAAATGGTTTTCCTGTACTTGTTCTAGACATCTACCGCAAAAATCACTTGCTAAGAAATTGAAATACGAATCATGGAGCAAAATGTAGGAAGAGAGCATGGTAATGCAAATTCGCTTGCGTATTAATTTCCCAATTAAGTCCTATATACACATATTCATTTTTAGGCGGCTCAGCATGTACCTTAACATGGACGCTGCCAAGTGAGAGCCACACACCCAGCTTCTTTGCGAGTTCCTTGTACTGGGTAACAATTGGACCGTCCAGCGGCTCTGCCAGTTCATACGCTTGTGCCTTCTTTTCCGCTATGAAGTCGACTGCTTCTGGCAAAAAGACCACCTGGAAGAGAACAGGTAGTTCAAAGCATATGGTACGGATGCCTTTAGCTATGCTGGTCAACTACATTGCCACTGTGAATATTCACAAAGTAACGGCTCGCCTCCCTAAATACGAATCCTCAAGAAATACGAACACGCACGCCATGTTTCACCGTAATGTTGAAAGGTGGAGCCACGAGGGAGTCAATGTCAAATTGAATGAAATCGACATTTTGAGAGTGGCGTTGGGTCTGACAATGTGCACTAATAATCTAATATTAGTAAACATGTTACTGAACACACCGGTCAATGCAATCTCTGAACCAAATTTTAGCTCGCACGAGTCAGCAGCGGCTGACTTGTACGGTCTTATCGAAGAGACACTCGCTTGGTCAACTCGGTTCGTTTTACAAGATATGAATGTTTCGATCAACAAGTGTTCATAAAGTTAGGACTAGACCAATACACCTAGCCAGCCACTTAAAACAACGATAACACGTGCACATATTGTGTCGCGGGAACGCTTTTGAAACTTGTATGTTTGAGTTTAACAAATGAGCGAGCTCCTAGCTGTTTCGATGTCGAGCTCTCACCTTGGCTCCTCTCTCCTGTGCCTTGTGGATGAGCGCGGAGCACGTTTCAAAGTTGGCCGCCTTATCCGACGTGGACGTCACTTGGCACACGGCGACGAGGTTACCGTTCGAAGTGGACGAGCTAAACATCTTGCGTGATGCTGACGAACTCAGAAACGACCTCGCGAGCAACTCGTGCAACTTGGCTCGCGCTCTGAGAGATATGGCGGACACAGCTGTAAGGGAGCAAACCGAAAGTTGACAGTAAGAACAGAGCGGAAATGACTGGCAGTACGGCCTGCTGGCAATTTTTTTTTTTATATCGGTTGGGCGATAGCGCGTTTAACTGAGCGGTCGTAACAACAACTGCAAGTGTCAGGGGTCGTACAACACATGAATCCCTACTTTCAGCAAGAATCCGAAACATGCAAAACATTGACGGTGAAGCCAACGTACCCATAGTTGTAGGTGCTGGCTCAAACACTTGATAGCTCGGCAATTTAGTTTTTTACGCGATAAAAGCTAGTTGGTTTCGGATGCGACCGGTGCATTTCGCTCTCAAAAACAACGCCGCAACAACTGAGGCGCCTAGGGACATCTATGAGCAATCGCAAACACTTACGTTGCAGTTTTTCATAGAGAAATGAGCATAGTAAACTTTCAGTAAACTTCTAAGAAGCGGTAGTGTTCGTTCTTCTCCCAAGCGTTCAGAAACTGCCACGCGTTGTTTGTCTGTCGTTCGACTCGTTTCCTCCCTTTCTGCCTCGCCTCGCCAACTTCACGTTACGGATCGACCAGCCGGCAAAACGTAAAAATGGTTTTGGACCTAGAACTATTTCGCGCCGACAAGGGTGGAGACCCCGAGAAGATTCGGGAGAACCAGAGGAGGCGTTTTAAGGATCCCGGGCTCGTGGACAAAGTCGTGGATGCCGATACGGTGTGGCGAAAACGTGAGTTGTGTGTGTATGACAAGCGGCTAGCGAAAGCACGTTTTCTTGCGCTTTGCGTGCGCGTGGTGTATCCGGCAATCGCGGCACCGCGTTTCGTTACTCGCTTTTTCGGATGCCTTGCGGGATATAAGCAGAGACGTGTGTAAAATGCTTCCAACCGGCCCGTCTGACGGTCCCTGCCCGTGTTTCGTTTTCCACAGTGAGGCACCAACTGGACAACTGGAACAAGTTGAAAAACCTGTGCAGCAAGGAGATCGGCCAGAAAATGAAGGTAAGTCATTGACAGCCGATTAGTGAGTTTTTGTATTGCTCGCACGAAACCACCTAGCGTACTTCGTTACGCTGAGATCCGTTCTGAAACCCCAAAACGCAACTCGAAGTGGGCTCGTTTTCAGGAGTTCGTAGCGACCTGTTTACGCGTGACCTTATCGCACGAAGGTTCGAGTTTCAACTTTGCCTCTGAACCTTTACCGACGCCAACATTTGCCGCGGGTGTACGTCGCTTACGTTTTCATTTTTCTGTGTTAGATCGTGGTCTGAAAGTGCTATTGTAATACGGTCTCATAGCATTCTTCTTGTGTCCCATTGTCTTGTCATCGCTGGACGGCCAGCGGAGCACGCCTAATAGACATTGTGCTCTTTTTTTTTTTTTGCTGTTGGTTTCAGAAAAAAGAGAATGTTGGGGAAGGCGACCATTTGCCCGACAGCGTTGTTGAAAAGCTGAGCGAACTCACTTCGGAGGCGTTACAGGTAAATTGCTGTACCGTCTTATAAATGAGCCCTTCAAAAGCTTCGCTAAAAAATGCTATAATTTACACAGACTGCAGCAATCCTCAACCCAGTGCTATGAACAGTAACGATGTTTACCACGTTTCCAATAAACTAAACCATCAGAGTTGATCTCAAAGTCATGTCAGTTGTCGTTTCTAACACAGTTCTTAAAACAGCATTTTTAAAGGAACAGTTCTGGGGTGCCCTAAGAACAGTCGCCTTCATTTTTTTCATGACTCACACACATCAAGGCAATACCAAAGCAGAGCCATCTATTGCATCCATTGTTTTAATAATAAAGTTATTTTACCTTCCCAAAGCTACATTTGGGCCGCAAGAGAAGCTTTACGCTAGTATTTGAAGAACTTCTAATTATTGTCAGTGCATGCCTTTTATCTGGCTCCGTGGTCCCGCTAATTTGCAACGTGTAGCTCTTCTGCATTTTGCTTCAATCGTAATACGAACACAGCAACTGAAAACTGAGTGCGTCACCCTATGCTAAACAGAAGAAAACTATAGCTGCTAGCAACGATTATGGATAGATGGCATCTGGTGCGTAGCATTTCCTTTCTACACGTCCTGAGAGACGTTCTCCAAACTCGGCCTTGTCGCTTCTACTTTAGTTTCTATTTCTTTTTCCAGAGCCTCACTGTCAACCAGATAAAGCGAATCAGGGTGCTCATCGACGAAGCCATAGTTCAGTGTAACAAGGACCTGGACACCTACGAGGCGGAACGAAATGCCGCTCTCCGAGAAATGGGCAACTGGCTCCATGAGTCGTGTGTCGTCTCCAACGACGAGGTGTGCGCCCCATGTCTCCTTCACTTCTGATACACCATGGTCGCTGAGGTGGATCAGTGATTGCACTGCTTAACAGTTGTTGCATTTTGAGAGAAGAAACATGCTATAGGCTCTTGTAAGGCCAATGCATGTTAAGGGAACCGGGGTGGTAGAGATTATCCAGAGCCTTCGTCTACAGCGTCTCTCAAAGTCGCCTTGGGAGACTACAAACCATGAAGCCGGTCGTGTTCCGGCACTCGACCGGTCACTCGAGGCACATTCGGACATCACCGAGCCCAGTCCGGTTCACATTTCATGACTCTGGTTGACTCCCTTTGCGACTTTCAAAAATGACCCAGTTGTGATTGGCCAATCAGATCCCGAACAAACATGCCCATGCGACGAGGGTTATTCAATGAGTAGCAATAATTGGACATTGAAGGACAACCTAGCAAGGTCAATTCAAGAACAAGAAGAAAATGGCAGTGTAACTCTTACTTTACTGACGTAGCCACCCAGAGCTTGAAATGATTATTCACATTGTTTCATCTCTATTCAGAAGATATTTGTTTTGGGTTTTGAAAGCAGTCATAAAATATATGGTATTTCAAATTTTCTAATGGCAGTGAGGGAGTGAGGAAGTGGAGCATCTAGAACTCTAAATGAATGTTGTAATAACGTTTTGTTCTGCAGGATGAAAATGCTGTGATAAAGACCCACGGAGACGTCGGGACAAAAAAGAAGTATTCGCACGTTGATTTAATCGTCATGATTAACGGCATGGATGGCGACAGGGGCTCAGTCACGGCTGGCGGGCGTGGCTACTACCTCATGGTTAGTACACAGTTTCATTTTTGAGAGGGCTTGTTATTACCGCGCCATTTGTGTGGGAGGCCACCTGCCTCCCGTTCTCACCTAGAAGTCTCTCTAGGCATTTGCACATTGAGAGAAAAACAAACAACAATAAGCTTCTCACATTTGGATGATCATGCTTATTAAGCGTGTATGTTAGAGATCGTGTCGGAGTGGTATCGATGCCATCGTTATTGACATGATGGTATGGTAAAAAGTAAGACTTTGTCTGTCTTGCAGCCTATTAATTTATTTCTAATTTGGAGCTTGCCAAGCATAGTGTCGTACAGTACTACATGCACACAGGCTGTGTAAGTACACGAAAAGGTCCCAAAGCAGAACTGTCAGGGAAAATACTGCTGAGCGATAGTAAAGAAAAAAGAGGACGCAGCTAAAGATCGAGCAGGGTAATAGACGTATCAACGCGTATTGTGAAAACTAGATGGTTTAAATTTATGGTACCTCCACTACGGCATGCCTTATAATCATATCGTGGCTTGTAAAACCCTAGACATTATTATTAATCCTTCCTGTGTTGCTGAGCTAGCTCTTCCTTTTAAACACAATGTTTGATAAAATACTGTAGACTCTTGTTAAGTAGAACCTAAAGGGACCAGGAAAATATGTTTTATTTGACAGGAGTTTCGTTTAGCGAGAGATGAACAGAGAGTTGAAATACAAGTACTAAATGAGTGATATCAGAGACAATTCTTTCATTTAAGCAGCAAGTCCGTTTAACCAATTTCCTTTTACATGAGATTCAAATGGACATGAGCCGGGCACGTAGCGCGTAGTCAGGATAACCGCTGGTCATTAAGGGTAACTGATTGGATTCCCAGAGAAAGCAAACGCATGAAGGGGAGACAGAAAGTTGGGAGGTCCGATGTGATTATAAAGTATGCCGGTATAATGTGGCAGCAGAAAGCTGAAGACCGGGTTGATTGGCAGATCATGGGAGAGGCCTTTGCCCTGCAGTGGGCATAGTCAGGCTGATGTTGATGACGATGACCGCATAGCGTGCGATATATTTTTAGCGCAAAAGTAGAAGGTGGAAGAACTCGGACGAGACATGAAACCAAGAGGCGGGCCTTAACAACTGTATAGGTCCTCTTGTCAAAACGCTGACCAGCTTTCCTAATTGATACAACCGCTGTACGATATAGGACTTTTTTAAAAATGCAGGTGCTTCGACATCCCATTTCAAAGTCATTATTGTAACTTGGACAAGGTTGTTCCCACACCCTTTCTTAAGAAAATGTCAACATTCATGTTTGTGCAGAACGCCGCCGTGTTCTTGGAGCAGGCCCTGCTTCAGCTGGCGTTGCAGATGCTTCACGCCAAGGGCTACTCGCCCCTGTATACACCCTTCTTCATGCGCAAGGAGGTCATGCAGGAGGTGGCCCAGCTCAGCCAATTCGACTGAGGAGCTGTATAAGGTAAGCGGCAGACGAGCTGTGCTGCGTGCATACGCCATCCCTTGAAGCTACAGTTAAACAGAACATACGATCATTCGATTGGTTGTTGTGAATGCATGGCTATGCTTTATTGCCTTATGTTTACGTGATCGGGTTTTGCTCACAAAATTTTATAAAACTACTTGGCACAGGCCCTGCCTGAATGTTTGGAACGATTGTTCCAACTGTACCAGGACTACAGAGCCATGGGCCAGCTGGTGTTGCATCTTGGGTAAATACACTTCTAACCGTACAGGGATGGACTGGACATGGCACAAACACAGAGCGTAGACTAACAACTACTTTATTTTATGATATGATACATGCCAACAAATGTATCAGTGCACCATTCATTCAGCTTCGTTCAAAAGAAATTCATTTTATAGAAACAACTCAACTTTTTCATGTGCATTCCTATTGAATACTTCCTTTTTATCTTGCCTCAGGTGTTTTTGCTATGCCTTCCCTTTGTGTATATATGCGAGGAAAATATCTGAAAGTGAAGAAGATGTTAGTCTACGCTCTGTGTTTGTGGTGTGTTCAGTCTGTCCCTGTTCGGTTAAAAGCACGTTTACCCAAGATGTACCAGGCTGTTCTAATAAGACGGCATGCATAGTACGAGTAATCAAGATTACTCTATAGCTAACACGAGCACCAGTGATGGTGCTAGAATTTTCGGTTACTCATGTATAAAAGACGACATGCTTTAGACCATCAAATTATTTACAAGCGACGTCCATGCTCACTGTAATTTTATCACTGCGAACGTT